GCGGCTCACGCTAAAATTTCGGCCTCACACAACTTGAATGCGTGGCCGGGTCTCGTCGAATGGGCCACGATTTGCGTTCGGAGCAGTTTTCCGTTTCCTCCGACGTAGTTGCTTTGCTACGTCGCGGCCCATTCGGCGCGACCCGGCCACACATTCAAGTTCGATGTGGCCGAAATTCTCGCGTAAGATGATAATCGCGTGAACCGCTCCTCCTCTTTTCTAACCTGATAAGAAGATGCAGAAGGAGCGTTCGAAATATTTTTTAGGCCTCGGCCTAGCAATATGAGCTGTGGATAGTTGGTGACGGCAGATTATCCACAGAAATCGTCGTTCCAAGTCCTTTTGTATCAGCCTGTAATGCTTCTATGTAAAACATCCCAGTTCCGAAAACCATTCGCTTTGTAACTATAATCTATTCTGTGTATGTCGTTAGGGTGCAGTGTGTAACATGGGTCCTCTGGAGGCGACAGACTCCAATGGGTCCGGAATTTTGCAAACTTCATTCACTGTCGTAACGCAGACATGGCTGTAGTATGTGAACAGACCTAAATCAGTCACTTTGGTGAACAGCAATCAGGCCATCCGCAGCCTAACTTTTGGATCAGAACCTGAGGGGGCTTAATGAAGGTCCTGATGAACACTGTACCCCGCAAGCCGGTTGTCTTAAGACACCCGCCACGGGACGGTTTGATTCCTCTGACCATCAAAGAAACCAACTCATATTTTGAGAACAGACAAGGATAAGGGCCGCACAACTTGAACGAAACAAGTAGTCGACTTACTGAATTTGACCCTCTTTGCAAATAACCCTCGGTTGACATCGAGGGTCCTGTAATACCATCGGGTGAAACCATTCCGACTGCAGGGAGCTCCAGTGGTTCAATCTGGATTTTTGGACGCAGTTGGTTCCGACTTCTTCGTTCTGCCAGACGTACCTTTTCTGTAGGGGTCTCTGGCTCGTCAGAGAAGATTGGCGTAATGGACGCGGAGCCTCTTGTCAGGTACTCAGCTGTGCGCATGAATAATTAAATATATACATATATATTTCGAAGAAAAATGAGTCCTTTGGGAAAAAAGAATATAAATGAATACATATATATGGATATAAGCGAAAATGCCGACCCCAGGTGTTGAAATGGAAGAAGGAGATAAGGCGATCTCTGGGGAGGAAGATTTAAGAATCTGACGTTTCGTACTCGTACTTGAGCACATCATCGGGGACAGACCAAATGAGAAATACGTGCTTTAAATAGACCATTCGCGCTCGCGCCTGATAGGTCGATCCCGCTCTCATCTTATTGGCCCTCCTCTCGCGCGCAAATGGTGCCTGATGGCCTCGTATGGTGCCGGTAGGTCAATACTGCGGTTGATCGAGTTGGCGTCTGATTGCCAGGCTTCGATTACTTCTCTCACCAGCTTGCTTTCGGCTCGGCCGAGCACTGGGGCACCGTCAAAGCCGAACATGTGATTATTTTCTAGACTGTGCATGGCGACGTGCGAGCGTACATCATTTCGCTTAACGGCTAAGGCGTGCTCATGCACGCGCGTGCGCAGTCGTTCGTCCGTCATGCCAGAGTATTTGGCCGGACAGTCTAGACATTTGACGCGGTAAATGACACCTGACGTGTCTGCAGGTGGTAGCCGGCCCTTGGTTTGCATGAGTAAGCGGCGGATGGTGGCCTCCGGTCGGTGTCTAACGACCACGCTCAGTGGCCTTAGCATGCGCTCAGTGGCGTCATACCCTCGACACTGGCTGCGCCCGCTTCCATTTTTACTTGAGAACTTCGTATGTGGCATGTAAATCGATATGCCGATTGGTGCATGCCTCATCTGAGTGCATTGCTTCCAGGAGTTCGCGGACTTTCCTTACTGGGCAGGCGCCAACAATGCGAGTTTTCTCCCACGCATGTCAGTAAAACTTACACAATCTCAATAGAGCTCACTGTTGAGTCTGTTACGCACAGCCTTCATGGCCATGGCTGGCGTCCTTGTTCAGGGCCTTGACCTTACGTCAAGGTCGCTGCGAGCGATTCCAGACGCACTGATCTGCGACCGCTCGACCGACTTCAAGTCGGACCCACATGCGTCGAGAGGACCGCGGATGCCCATGAACCAACTGAACGCAGCCCC